CGAATAGTAGTCGGGATAGTAGCCGTTGCCGTTACCACCACCCATATGACGAGTAGTAATCAGGGTAGTAGTCGTTGCCGTGACCGTAGTAGTCGTCGGAGTCGCCTCCATAGTTCTTATAGCTGTAGCTGTAGCCGTTATTATAGCCCTAGTAGTCGTCGCCACTAACGTATTCGTAGCCTTTGTGCTTGTAGTCGAGGTGCTTATAATCAATGTGGCCGTAGTTATCGCGGCCACAGTCATCGTGACCATAGTCATCATGACCATAGCCGTGGTGGTCGTGCCTGTGACCATAATCGCCTTTGCCGTAGCTGTAGTCCGAAGACTCGGTAGCCTTGGTGTCCTTATAATCGGTAGCCTTGGCGTCCTTATCTTCGAGGCGGCGACGGTAGTAGTGCGGGTGGTCCTTCTTGTCGTGGTGGTGGTGTTTCTTGTGGTCGTGGTCGTGCTTGTGCTGGTGGTGGCCGTAGTCCTTGTAAGACCCGAGTTGACGACGTGGGGGCATTCTATTAGCAGCGTCAGTCGCATGCAGAATAGAAGCAGCGACACACAGGCCCACTATGGCGAGAAATTTGGAGTGCATCTTGTTGGGCAGTTGCAAAACTAGTTGATGGAGCTGGAGGTTGGTTGTCGAGTGTCAGGGAGGAAGCGAGATGACAAGTGAGAGAGCGAGGAGGCTAGTCCGATCGAGCTGCGGTCTGGGCGTTGATGTTGCATCAGCCATCGTGGTCACCCCTCGTCGTGGCATTGTCTTTCTTCGCTCGCTGTGATTGATCGAGAAGACGATGAGAGAGAAGCGTTGAGAGAATGAGTCGAGTCAACAATAAGTGATAGACTGCAAACTGGAGTAATGCAGACATCACGGTCTAGGATAAGTATTTTAGACGTATTTTGAGAATGCAAGATCACACGAATACTTACACAATCTAATACTTCGAGGTACTATCATTGCAACAAGAAAAAGCAACAGCGGCCACTTGTATTACTTTGTCAGCAAATGTTGGACTACTACTTCAAAACAACTTCAATTCCTTTAGTGTGACGGGGTCACACAACACCTTGCACAGAGAAGGTGCTTAAGGGTATTAACTACCCGAGTGAACGTAAGTCCACGTGTTCCCGGCCTCAGTGGGAACGGTTTGCTACTTAGAGGAGTAGATTTAAGACTGATGTATTTATAAGTAAGATAAGCTTGGGTCACATACAAACTAGAGGTTACCTATAGTGGAGCTAAGTAGTCATGCCATGACTGGTTCCGAGAGCACCTGGTACCGTGTATCAGGTATCCACAAGAATGACGGGTCACTCTTTATGTAACATGGGGCACACTGGATTGTACCCCGTTACATCCTCCCGCACTTAACTGAGAATCACCTGATTCTCCAATCACAACTGATTCTCCAATCAGAAGTGAGAGTAATTAGAAACACCAAAAGGTAAATTCTCACACTGAGCAGTCACG